TTCATTCTTCATTCGAAAACAGCTGATTTAATTTACACCTAAATATAAATCAAAATTGTTTAAGTAGAACTCATCCAATTTATTCTAAAAACAAGAGAGAACGCTATAGTCGGGCTGGTGTCCCGACTATCTAATACCCGCCACTCAGCTAAAGGGAGTGCGAGGGAGATGGATATATAACATTTTGATTGCGCATAACTTTTTAATGAATGGTCCGATTTATAAAATGTCTTTTACATTTCGATAACATAACAAAATTGCATTTATACTTCTCGGAAATTTTTAAAGGTGTGGGCGCCAGACACATTTTAAAATCGATTGTGGGCGTTAGAGGGGGCGTTGCGCTCGGCTGATATGTGTGGGAATACTTTTGTAGTTTCCGAGATCTCAGCGTTCAGCCGGACGGACAGACAGACGGACATGGCTAGATCGGCTAGTGACTCTGATCAAAAATATATTTTAAAACTCTAGTTTACGGTCCTCACCCCCAAAAGACGCGAAAAAATTATCCTCGACGGACCGCGAATTCTTAAGAATTTGTATGAAGATATATAGGCGCGGACTGCCATGGTTCTCTTGTAATCGAATTTCAAAGTTACGTGTTTTGCTATAAAAATACAGTTGGCTTCTCTACGACTTGCTATAAAAAACATATTGGATTTTCATAAGTTGTCAAAATAATAAGCCTTCTGAAAAATTCGACAAAAATGTCTAATGGTTTTTATGAGGGCTAGACCCTACAGCCGCGAACTAAATATATAAAAAAAATCGCGCGATATTTAAAAACAAATTTTTGCGTTTGAGGCGCATTTTTGCAATATTGGACAGCGATTTCTTAAACTTTACTTTTATAAGTTACGCATATGTTGGTCATCCATGGTCATTCGAATTCTTAAGGAATAGCGGTCCATCGAGGATATTTATTTTGCGGCTGTGGGGTCTGGCCCGCTATGAAAACAATTTCAGATTTTGGTCGAATTTTTCTGAACGCCTATTATTTTGGCAAGGGATGAAAAGCCCTTATGTTTTTTATAGCAAACCACTCAAAATCTTAGAAAGGGCTACTTTATTTTTATAGCAAAACACGTAACTTTGAAATTCGATTACAAGAGAACCATGGCAGTCCGCGTCTATATTTCTTCATGTAAATCCTTAAGAATTCGCGGTCCGTCGAGGATAATTTTTTCGCGAATTTTGGGGGTGAGGACCGTAAACTAGAGTATTACCTACCCTTGTACTCTACGAGTAACGGGTATAATGAATTCCCAAGCGATTTATCTTCAAACTCTGTGGGATATCGTCGAATTGTCTGAAGTGCGAACCTATCGGCGCATACAAGGGTGGTCAAAAGTATTTTCACAAATTTTAATGTTAACTGTAGTCTTATTTTGAACTTATAATATAAGCTTTTGGCACCCATAGAAAGATCACTTCAATTCCGTTTAAATGGCACAAAAATATTCTTAACCCATTAAGACCCCTTTGAAAAGTGAGCAAATTTTGTGAAAGTCAAATTTTCAACGTTTTTCCTGGGGCTTACAACAAAAATGTTTGGTAATACTATACATTAGCGGACTCACCCCCGAAATTCGCGAAAAAATTATCCTCGATGGACCGCGATTTCTTAAGAATTTACGTGCAAAAATAACTTGGCGGTCGGCCATGGTTCTTTTGTAATTTAATTTCAAAAAGTGTAGAAACCGGCCCTAAAACGTTTATTTTAACATTAAGGTTAAACAATAACTACCCAACAAAATGACGGAGAAACGTCGCGTACGACATGTAGCGTGTGACAGTTACTTGAGCTTTCCACAATAAATTGACGTTAAAAATTGAATGTGTCATCTGAGCCTTATCAAGAGCTTTAGTTTGAGTGTCAAAAAAAAATAAATCCTAGAAGATGTTTTTTTCACCTGCAAAGCATACGAATGTCGCGTGAGACAGCAGAGAATTGCCCGTATCTGGGATCCCTGGAACAGCACCGATCGAGCTAATATTAAGCTATAAGTATTTCTGTTAACTGCAAGGGTATATAAACTTCGGCTTGCCGCAACTAACTTGATTTCTTTTTGAGCTAAAAACAAGAGAGAACGCAATAGTTGGGTTGTTGTCCCGACTATATAATACCCGTCACTCGGCTAAAGCGAGTGGGAGGGAGATTGGTATATAAAATTTTTTGATTTGTATAACTTTTTAATGAATGGTCCGATTTGAATGGATTCTTTTACATTTCGATAGGTATAAATATACACAACAAAATTGCATTTATACTTCTCAGAAATCTTTAAAGGTGTCTGCGCCAGACACATTTTAAAATCGTTAGTGGGCGATTGTGGGCGTTAGAGGGGGCGTGGCGTCCTCAATTTCCCTTTACACTGTTGTTAGGCAACAAAATAAAGATAATTTAAAGATTTAAAAAAAAACGAAGAAAATCGAAAATTGTTAAAAATTGACAAACGTCTTTTTACGTTTATTTTGTTGATGTACTAATTTAAAATATTTGTTTGCATTAAAATCGGAGTTGATTTAGTTCCGTATGTGCTGATATCTCGGAAGCTATAAGAGCTAGAAGGTTGCGATTTCTCGAGCAGATTCCTGCGTCCTGCACTTTATTTTATCACAGTGCTGTGCCCACTCCACTATAGGCTGGATGACAACTTTAGGTGGCCAAAAGTCATTTTTTGAAAGTCCTTAAAATTAAGATCCAATATTGTCAGTCTGTTAGGATAACATCAGACTTTAATGTTACGTACCAGAAATCTCGACAGAGGCTCGCACTGTTAAGGTACAGGCTGTTAAAACAGCTGTTGGCGGTGACGGGCGCAAGTGGAGCAAATAATTGAAAAAAAACAAGAACTTTGAAATTAATTCAAATCGCAATTTAGAACGATTATAACAAATCTTGCTTTACAGCATCGAAAGAGGGTAGATTAAACTAATTTTTTGTATATTTCAAGTGTTAAACTATTATATGGGTTTTTTTGCAATTTACAGTTTAATTATAGCCCTTTAACTTTTAACAAATCAAAATAAAAACTGATCTTTAAATGGACAAACAAAGCGAATGCGACCTAGTTTCACCTTAATATTTATACTGGGTTTTAGGGAACTCAATTATTTTTCATATCAATATTATTTGAAGGTGTACTTTTGCACACTTTTTCTTAAATCTGTATTTAAAAGCCTAGACCTAAAATATGCAAAACACACGAAAAATTGGTGCACAAATGTCAATTACAATAAGTTTCTAAAGAACGGTATACAGTTTTTTTTTAAATTATATATTAGTAATTACAAAATTATTTTACATCATCTTTTCAAAAGAATAACTTTGTTAAAAAGTATTTTTGTATTTTTTGTGTTTCTTATATTAATTTTAATAACATAAATTCGATGACACCTAACAAAAAAATTAAAAGGCACTCAATTTTATTTGGGTACTTAGATTCTTTACATTATAAACAAAACTAAAAAATAAAATTTTTTAAAATTATTTTTGTGAAAAAAAATTTTTTTTTCTTAAATAAAGCGTGAACACGGCCATTTTTTTAACTAAAACATATTTTTTATACTACAAGTTCAATTAAAATAAAAAACTGGTAAATGTTGCTTCATTTTTAAGCAGGGAACGAAAAAAACTGTTATTGTAAATTATTCATACAAAAAAATCACGCACTTAGAAGGGTCCTAAAAATTTTTTAAATACACCACAATTTTTATTAGCCATTGTAGTTTACAAATCCGTAATGATTTTTATTTTTTGATTTTTATAATAAAACTCAATAAATAACTGTTATTTTTTGATTTTTATGAATAACAGTTATTCCCTTGACATTTTTGAAAAAATGAAATAATTAAAAAAAACATAATACCCGTGCTTTTTATAACTTACTAAAAATTTGTTAAAAAAGGCAACCGCGCATATTTTATACCTATATTTTTTTAAAATTTTGTTTACCCACAAAATCGCCATAAATCAAGTTTGAGTTTTATTTTTGATCACGACGAATAACTGTTATTTGTCAACTTTTATTATAAAACTCAAGAAATAACAGTTATTCTTTGAGTTTTACTTTACAAATCAGAAAATAACTGTTAAAGTGTGATTTTTAAAATAAAACTTATAACAGTTACGTTCCCTGTTTTTAAGTTATTAATTAAGTCCATAAAAAGTGGTCATCCAGCCTATAGTGCACTCTAACGCACATTATTTTAGAGCGGGAAGCCCATTTATTTTACCGCAAAAGTTTGTGGTGCCACGTTATCTAGGATTTTTGTAGTGCACATGTTATTTGAATTGTCAATAGCCATCGTCACGCCAAAAATGTTTCAAATAGAACCATTTATTAAAAATGAACATTTATTTGTACAATTTATATGTACATACATATATTTCCGGTATTTGCCTCGATTTTGGGCAGTTGTTTTGCTGCTTGCATATCTTCGTCTCTTCGCACTCCTTTAGCTAAGTAACGCGTATTTTGTAGTCGAGACCCCCGACTATACAGTTCTCTCTTGTTTTTAGCTGGCTTTGCCATAACCGGACTATATATTTTTAGGTGCTAAAAAGACTTCAAGGGCCTACATTTGTATTTGATTCCATTTAAATTCAATAAATAAATGTCAATACTGATATTAAAACGTAACATTAATTACCACCTAAAAAAAATTAAACTTTTCACGGCACTTTTGTACCTTTTTCTTTTCAATCTATAGTTTTTAACTTAAAAAGCGTTTCTTTATTTGGTTTTACCAACAACAAATTAATAAATGCCCGTTTTATTTTATTTCTTCATTTTTCCCTATCTGTGCTTTGTAAAGCTTTTTCTAAACTCGGCGAACTTGCTCTGAGATCGTGATCAAGTTGGCTGCTGCAATTTCTTGCGCTCTCTGAGCCATGTCATGATTCACTGAGCCATTCCTTTCCCTGACTCGTTCGTAAGCTTGTTTTGCAGTGACTTTTCTGTTTTAAACATTTTATATAGTCTTACGTATGTAGCTACTGCTTCAGTTTGGTGCTTAAACGCGTTGCGCGTACTTCATTAAGCTGTAATCAATTCAGCTGGTGCAGCTATCGCTTAGTATACACACCAATAAGAGAAAATACTTTCTTATGCTGTGATCATCCTGATTAAATATACTAGCAAACTTTACAAACATTTAAGTTATAAGAGAGAGCTCAGTGAATTTAAAAGAATTGTGAATAATTTAACTGGAGGCCATGGAGAGCAAAGGATTTAACCAGACTTTTAATTTATTTCTGGCTATAATTTTATTTTCTAATTTTTGTGAAACTTTTGCAGTACGTGTTGCCAACTCACAGCAAAAACAACGTATAAAAGGTAAGAAAACCCAAACTAACAAGTAAACAAAAGTTCAAGGAAGGGATCGCCTTTTAGACTTAACATCCAGAAATCATATGAAAATTATATATTGACCTTGTCCATTGATAAAATTTTAAAGTAACGTTTTATTGAGAACAAAACAATGGGTTGGCACCACCCTATGTTAGGTATTTGCTTAACGAATTTGGAAACGACTTCACAAATTACTATGGCAAGCTTACATTCACTTTGACGACTAGTTCAGAGAATGCTACAAATTAAGTCAGCTCGACAATATAACTGGTACATAATGACAAAAAAACAGGAAAAAGACCAACAGATTCTTCCAAGCCATGAATACCCTTAAATTTCAATTAAATAAGTGTTTATTAATGTTGTAAACGAATATGATTTTTATATATACATATATAAAAATAGTAAAAATGGCCATAAATGTTCAATTTAAGGCCATACATTTTAAGGAATGAATAGCGTGAAAAATAGTCCACTACCTAAAAAATAGCACATGCCCATATAAAATATTAAAAAACCTTTTTTTTTTTTTTTAAATGTAAAAACAAATAGTTTACGATCTTAGTACTTATCAAAAGTTTACCCATATATGGGTAAATTTAAAAAAATTAGTTTGTAAACAAGAAAACTTTTATTTTTATATTTTCAAGGAAATTGTTCTTAGTTTTAATGTTTCTTGCCGTAAAGGAAAGAAAAATTGGTAATGATTTTTTTAATGGCGAAACCGTTAATGCAAGTAAATTATTTACTATAGGCTTATTCCATGTGAAACGTGACAGGCAAATTTTTTAAAAAACATATTAGGAATAAGCTCTAATTTGGAAATTCACGCAGCACTTGAGAGTTATTTGAGTTATTTTAAATTTTGGAATGCAATTTTGTGGGATAGCTCAATATCTTTGAATTCTTTAAACAAAGAATTTTGCACTACAGTAAACAGATCCATTGCGGTATCACAATGGGCCAGTGATGGCCTAAGTGTGCTGACCTTGTGTCAGCCGCCGCGCTAACCTAACCTAACCAAATCATTTGGTGATTACGTAATAAAAGGACAGCCCCAGAGTTTGATGAACTAATGTATTTTTAGAAAAAGTGTTCCATAAAAGGAAAATAACTTGCAATCAAAGGCGCTCTAAGGTGCAGCATTTTACAAAAAACGTATACATACAAACAAAAAACAATATCAATAAAAATATCAGGGACCGTAAATAATGATTATCGATGTATTTTTCAAGCAAAAACATCATCCACTTGGAAAAGCCGTACAAACAAACGAATTATACCAATCGGCTACTATTTGTGTGCTCTATCCATATCCGCAATGATCTTTTACTTCTTGATTTTTATACATTTTACTCCATTTTAATAATTATTTGTTGAGTTTTTTTCCATCGCTCAAAGAATAATTATTATTATTGTGAGCAAAAAAAAATATCGATCAAAAAATAATGATTATTTTTTGAGCGTTATTTTTTCGCTCAAAATATCGCTCAAAGTGGGATATCTCCTTTCTCAGTAGTTTCTTTGGAAAAATGTATTCGCAGCAATATAAATTGAGCCTCGACGACCCCACAAAACCTCATTTTTAGATTTAAAAAAAAAGGTTAAAAAATAATTTTTTATATATATGGAAGAGCGATATTTTGAGCGAAAAAGTAACGCTCAAAGAATAATCATTATTTTTTAATCGATATTTTTTTCGCTCAATTTTCAGTTGTAAAATGCATTTACTAATAATAATAAAAATAAAAGCACCAAGAAAATTAAAAAATAAATTTAAAAAAAAATAAAACATGTCTAGTACTGGACTAAAACCCGGTTCAAAAAACCGGGAGCTGGCATAGTTTGTTGATAAGTCCAACAATGGACTTAAAATAAGTCTAAGATTCCTTAGGTCCAAAATTAGTCCATATTACCTCAGTTAAAGTCCATTTTTTGGGTTTCAAGTCCATATTTTTTTTGGGTGTAAGATGCAATAGCTTTTGAAAATATTGTACTTTGGCCTTAGTTTTCAAAAAAGAATTATAACCTTATGTTTACGTATTTAGATAAATTTATTCCCATATGGGCCGTTCTTTTACAAACCGAATAGATTTGTGGAAAAATATTTGTTCATATTTATACCCTTGCAGAGGGTATTATGATTTCAGTCAGAAGTTTGCAACGCAGTGAAGGAGACGTTTCCGACCCCATAAAGTATATATATTCTTGATCAGCATCACAAGACGAGTCGATCTAGCCATGTCCGTCTGTCCGTGTGTCCGTCCGTCTGTCCGTCTGTCTGTTTCTACGCAAACTAGTCTCTCAGTTTATGAGCTATCGGGATGAAACTTTCGCAAAAGTCTTCTTTCTATTGCAGGTAGTATATATGTCGGAGCCGACCGGATCGGACAACTATATCTTATAGCTCCCATAGGAAGGATCGGAAAAAAAAACTTTAAAAAATTCTAGCTTCGGTGTTTTTTGAAATATTACCTTCTACTTTTGGGGATGTTATTTTTTAAATATTTCTGAATTTCGAAATAAATATTTAAAAAATCGGACTAATATGTCATATAGCTGCCATAGGAACGATCGGAAAATTAATGGAAAAGTAATAGGAAATAAATTCTAGCTTCCTTGGTTTTTATTGTATTATCTTCTACTCTAGGATATGACTCTTTTAAATATTTCTGAATTTCAATTTTAATTTGATCAAAATCGGACGACTATATCATATAGCTGCCATAGGAACGATCGGAAAATTAATGAGAAATATTAGAAAATTGAACATTTTTGCGATTTGTTAATTAATAGGAATGATCTGCAAGGGTATATAAGCTTCGGCTGGCCGAAGCTAGCTTCCTTTCTTGTTTTGATTGGCCTTAAACTTTTATTTACATTTACTATTTAGAATCTGAAAAAAACATATAAATTAAAAAAAAATACATTCGTTTAAAAATACCCAGACGATAATCCGAATGACGAATCTTAATTCATCTCTTAGCTTTTCTTTTAAAAAGTTGGAGCTATTTTTATACCCGTTACTCGTTGAGTAAAGTATATACATGGGTGGTTAAAAGTATTTGCACATTTCTTATGAGTAAGTACGTGTAATTTGTGCGAATACTTTTGACCATCCCTGTATATATTCTTGATCAGTATCACTGGACGAGTAGATCTAGCCATGTCGATTTAAAAAGGTGCCATGCGCCCACATCTTTTAAGATGTCTGAAAAAATTAATTAAATTGGTTGTGTTTATTAATACCTATCGAAATGTAACAAAAAAATTTCAAATCGGGCCCCTCGCCCTAAAAAACTGACTTTTGGCCCGTGGATTAAGAATCTAGCCCGTAAACAGGGGCAGCTGGCGATTCGCCCGTCTATTTATAACATTTTTTCTAAAAATTCTCTATGTAATTGAGAAAAAAATGTTCTTGTTTATAAGGTGATATGTCCTAAATTTAAGGTGGAATTATACCCGTTACTCGTAGACTAAAAGGGTATATTGTATTCGTGCAAAAGTATGTAACAGCTAGAAGGAAGCGTTTCCGACCCCTTAAAGTATATATATTCTTGATCGGGGTCACTAGCGGAGTCTATCTAGCCATGTCCGTCTGTCCGTCTGTCTGTCTGTCTGTCCGTCCGTAAGAACGCAGAGATCTCGGAAACTACAAAATCTAGAAGGTTGAGATCATATTCTTGGGCCTACTACACAAGTTTATTTCAGCCGAGCGCCCCTCTAACGCCCACAATCGCCCACTAACGATTTTAAAATGTGTCCTGCGCCCACATTTTTAAAGATTGTGGAGTAGTATAAATGCAATTTGGTTGCGTTTGTTTATTCCTATCGAAGTGTAGAAGAAATGCTTCAAATCGGACCATTCGTTTAAAAGTTATGCCCGATCAAAGTTTTATATCTCCATCTCCCTCGCACTCCCTCTAGCTGAGTAACGGGTATCTGATAGTCGGGGCACCCGACTATAGCGTTCTCTCTTGTTTACTTATGTGAAGGTATTTATGAAAATAATGATAAATTAAAAAAAAAAAAAAAAAATTTGTTATTTTGCTAAAAATATATTCAAGAAATAAATACCGATTTCTGCCAAATTTTTTTGAAAATTGATTGATTCTATGACACCTATAAGATATAATTGAGCAACTATAAAAAAATAGTAAGCATAGAGTTAAATTGATAAATAATGGCTTAAATCCGATGTATGTATATGAACCAATATTAAAATAGAACCGAGATATTCCCCTTTTTAATGTTTATATGGCATCTATAAGATATGGTTAACCGATTTGAATAATTTTTTTTAAAAATCAAGTTAAATTAAATTAAAAGAAAAAATAGTGGGAAACTTAGAACCCTATAAGTAATTTATTTATATTAAAAAAAAAACATTTTTGTTCTTAAAAATGTTCTACAACTAAAAAAATTTAATAAAAAAATGTATCTTATGATGTTTTTTTACATATTTAATTGCCTCAATACCCCATCAAAAGATGTTCGCTTAATGGCTCCCCTGATTTAGACAGACTTTTGGCTTTTTCGCCCGACTGTGCGTTAATCGGAATTCATCCGCTAAATCTGGTATTTTTTTTGGTATTTTAGCTAATGGCGTTAGCTACCTATTTTCCTCTCGCTTACTCCTATGCTTAGCTAGCAGTTTTTGTCGTACTGAGTACTAGACTTTAATCGTGAATTTTCTAAAACTAAACTGACAGACACTCTCTCTCTCTCTCTTTAAACGTAAATGCACTTGTTATGCGCAATCATATGGGAAGCTGCGTTTAGGAGGCCGAACTCTAGAACACCGCCCACCCTTAGAACTGAAAGCATATTAGTAAACGAATTAGGGAAGTAACCATGAGGAGAAAAAACAACTTACTTTTGATCATTGCGAGGAATCGAAACCATGGCCTCTCCAGTTGGAGTTAAACGCACTACCGCTGCACCACAGTCCCCTCGCGCAAAGCGACGGACAAACCCTTTTAATA